GAAAGGGACAATATACATATTTCTATAAAACTTATTATAACTTTAAACTATTAAGTGATTTTAAAGAACCTAGTATTACTAACAAGAAATTTTAATGTACAGAAAGAAGCACAAAAGCCTTCCATAACAACAAACATTTTGCCCAATTCTGAAGAAGCCAGCTTGAGTTTCCAAGCTGTGGAACCACTAAAGAGATGGAGTGATGGAGCAAGAGAGACCTTTGAGGATATCACCTCACAACCTGTAGTTACAGTTCTGAATTATGCTCAAGAGTTTGGCCAGTTTGTTAAAACTTTACAGTAGCATCATTCTGAGGTAGAATATTTTTAATGCACACTGCTGGCAAGGACTTGAGTAATTCAGAGAACATTCACCACCAGTTATTAGGACAGATTTCAGTGAAAGCATCCACAACTCCTCATTAAATCATTTACACAGGATCACCTTCAAAAGTGATTGTAATTTGGAGAAAACAAGACCACATGAAGATCTGAGTACACTATCAGACTTTGATTCTCTCAAAGAATTTCATCAGTTAAACAAAGCTTCTTGATCTGCAGTTTCCATTGGGTACTTTTCATGGGATAACATCTGCAAAATTAAAGAATCTCCAAAGATAGCATGGTGTGATTTGCAATGCTGAATTTTAAGTAAGCCATTTAAGCATAGCTGGAGTGGATTTCAAAGATAAGGAAGTGCATATTAAAAAATGATGAAATTTTAATTTCTCTCTGTCTGATTACAATGCAGAGTGCTCAAGTATCAGTCTTGTTCTTTCCCCATTTAGCAAACATCAATTCTAAACCTATAGATAACAACTGTAGAATGATTTATTTTGCCATCACCTCTCAAGTGGCAGAAGGCAAGATCATGATGCCACGAAAATCTGGGTACCTCCATTCTTCAGGTCACAATCATAGAAATCCTCCTTTTCATCATTTGAAATATAAATGTAGCAAATGCCTAAAGAAAATATCAACCACCAGAAAAGTATACCAAATATGAAAATTTTCTGTAAAACATCAGTAAGAAAGACTTATTTTATGTTATCACAGTTATTTAACTCAGGAAACGGCTAACTTCTTTTTAGATTGGAGTACTTAAAATTCAGGTATATAGGAAAAAGGCACAGAATATTTTATATTTTCTTTTTAACTTCCAAATAAGAAGAAGGAAAAGCCTAAGACCAAAGGAAAAGCCCAAAACTAAATTGAATGTAGCCAGATTAAACAGTTTAAGAGTAGCACAGAAACTATCTGCAAGGTTACGTTTTCACATTTTCATTTATTTCAACTGATGAATTAATTTCAAGTTTCTCTTAAAATTAACTACACAATGATTCTAGTTCTTTTCTCAAAGTAAATGTTAAAACACTCTGGCATGTTAAATTATGTTATTTTAAATTGAAAACTCTTGTAGAATGTACAATGGGCAATGACAGATGATGAGCAAAATTCAGTAAGAAGGAAGACAGACAACTCCTAGATCAAGAAAAACCCAGCTGGGTCTTAAAGTATCTTAGGGTCTAGGATACCTTAAATGCTAGTTCCTTAAGGAATTACTTACAGATCAACTAAACAATTTGTCAAAGGCTCTAACAAGAAGGGGAAGTCTTACCCTAATGCAAGCATATGCTAGGAATATACACTATCTCATGCAATCTTTGTAACTACACTGACAGGCATTTTTTTTTTCCTAACAGACAAAAAACCTGATACCAAGAAAAATTAAATAATCTGGGCACCAGTGGCTCGCTCTGGTAATTCTAGCCACTAAGGAGGCAGAGATCAGGAGAATAGTGGTTTGAAGCTAGTCCAGGCAAATAGTTTGTGAGAACCTATCCTGAAAATACCCAACACAAAAAATGAAAAGTGGAGCAGCTCAAGTGGTAGAGTGCCTTCCTGGCAAATATGAACCCCTCCAATGTAGGGGTGGGGGACACAAGAGAAGGAGAAGGATGAGGAAGAAGAAGAAGGAGAAAAAGAAAAAGGGGAGGAAAAGAGGGAATCATCAAGCAGCTTCCTTATAGCTGGACCAAGGTTAAATTTGAATGAAGCGCCTAGGCTCTTATTTATTTGTAACTCACTACACCACTTAACACATTAGAGATTCTGTGTTTTTAAAAGATTTGATTAAGAAGAAACTAATAAATAACCACTTATCACTTCCTGATGTCATGGACTTCTTGTCAGAAAGGGCAATCAACACACTGTGGCCTGGAAAAGGCAGGCACAAGACAAAGGTCTCAGCAAGTACTAAGTGTCTGTTTTTTACATCCTGGCTCTTGGCTTCTCTCACTATCGCAAGTGGTGGTTTAAAGAACCATGTTCAATAAGAACAAGTGATCAAAAACTCTGAGTACAGTGATTCTAAGAATTTCTAGGTAAACTGCTTCCATGGAAAACTATGGCAACTGCAATCAGTCCTGGTAGTGGAGGCCTGGGAGTAGAAAAAAAAATTCTCTCCTTGGTAGATAGTATATTTCATCAACATCATATAATTTATGCCAAGTCTTGATCCTTCTTATATCAGCAAGTGAAAAAAAACACTTGAATTAGCAAATTACCATTTTCAAAGTCCAGATCTCAATTTTTCACATTTCCCAACAGACAGATAAATTACAAAAGAGTTTCAAAAATAAACCTACACACTTAACTTTTTTTTACAGGTCTAGTAATCTGCATTATAAATGTGTTGCATAATGTTGAGTAATTTCTTAGTTTATGAAACAGTGAAAATAACAGGCCTTCAAAAGTTGAAAGAACTAGAACTAACCTAAGAAAATGAATTTAACTTAGGAAAAACTTTACATTACCTGCTGTAATAATTTTATAACTACTATGATCAGTATTGCCATAAACAGGAAGCAATGTGTTAAGATGACACTTCAGGGCCGCTCAGAATCTAAAGATAGCTACAGCCTTACCTTATTCCCACAGCTCCATCCCCAGACTCCATCAGGGATTCTTAAGCTAGGTCTATCTATTTTTTATTCAAAGGTTGCCATTAATAATTTTTATGTAAGCTGAAAGGAGAAAGTAGAAGAAACATGCTAGCTAGTATCTCTCTATAAGAACCTGATTGGAATTATCCCTCATCATCTCTCTGCCAGAGACCATACACAGAAGCTAAGTCTCTGGGGATCAAACCCACTGCCTTTTCTCACTCAGAATGATGGATAAGCATGGATCTCAGCTCGATTTCCAGGCCAAGATTGCTACTTAGGAAAGGAAGAAAACATCTCTTTTCTTCTAGGTAAATAGGTAAAATTTTCTTTTCTAAAAAGAATTACCACCAATTATATCAACTAAAGGCAGCTAATACTCTTAAGTACTGCTGTCAAGATTAGGTATAAAAACATGCTTCCTTCATCCAGACTGGTGAACTGAAATGATCTAATTTTTACCTTTTGTAGTTTTGTATGCAGCTATGCAGTCCTTTTTCAGTTTGACAATTACTGAAATGTAATCTTAACACATTGCTTCCTGTTTATAGGTAATACTGATCATAATAGTGTAAAAATATTACAATAGATAATGCAAAACTTTTTCCTAAGTTAAACTTACATGTTTTCGTATCTCAGGTTCCTGAAATGATAAATTACCTGTTTACTTTTATTTAGAGTGGGTAATATTCTCATATATTTGTAATTTCTTTTTATGAGTTCACCATTAGGTACTATTTTCTTTGTGGTAATCTTATGACTTGGATTCTGGAAATGTTACTCTAAACCAGTTTTGCCTTTGTTAACACTGGAATCCCAGAACAAATTATGGTATGATTAAAAAAGAACCTTTACTTCCAGTTCCAGGACATTACCAATCTCAAATGCTCCTGGTCCAGACATTCATGGCCTTGACATTCCTATCATCATCTGGTAGGATCTACTTTCTCTTGAAACTAGATAGGCCCAAAAGAATATTGTAAGAGTGATACTGTATGATTCCAAAAGCTAGGTTATAAAAATGCCACCCACGTCCTTCTGGTTCCATTGGGATACTCATTCCTTACACTCAGTTATAAGTGCTATGAAGAAGATTAATGAATGCAGAGAGGCCCCTTAAAAAGGAACCAAGGCCCTGGTTACATTTCCAGTTTGATAGCCAGCAACAACTTCCCAGCCAAATGAGTGAACCATCTTAAAGAGAATCATCCTGTCTCCAGGTGAGCCTCCTGAATAAAACATGGGGCAAAAAAAATACACTCTCTGCTGAACCCTGCCAAAATTACAGCTTGAAAGCAAAATGAATAATTGTTTTAAATCATAAAGTTTGGGAATGGTTTGCTATATTAACAACAGATAACTGGAACAGTTATTCTAAAATTATTTTTTTACCTAGCATCTCAAGCAGATACTATTAGAGACATTTTCTTCTATAATAAAACAATGACATATGACAACACATAATGGAAAGGGTCACTGGACAAATGATGTGATATTAGTACCCTTACTAAATTGTCTTTTAGAAATTGCTAACTTATGACTACAAATGTTATCTTATTCTTTCCATGTGCATGTGGCAAGGTCTCATGTTTTCCAGCTGAATGTCATAAATTCACCCATCTCCTTCTGATCACAAGGCAATTCTTAGGGTGTAGGGGATGTTTTTAATTGTTGTATGTAACAAAAAGCCAAATATTTTGAAGTATGAAGTAATCAGCTGTCAGCCTATCTCAATGGTGATGCTGGGTTTGAACCTTTGTTCTGCTAGTTGTAATCCACTTATTATTTTTCTTTTTGTAATTGAAAACAGTATTTTGAGTAAATACTTTGAATCCATAAAAAATTCTATTACTGATCAAATTTGTACAAAATAGTCTTACACAGCTATTCATGATTCTTGCTTAAAATAATTATTACAATCATGGATGCCAAATGGTGATATTCTGTTTCTATTATTCCCTCTGCATTTATAGTTGGCAGTACAGTTAAACAAAAAAATACCTCATCTATTTGTCTACCTATTTACTTACATCAGTATGAATGTATGATTCTTTAGCTCAATGAGTTAGAATTCATTATTTCCACTCTTTTGATTTTATTTTTTAAAAGTTTGACCACTGACATTTCATTCAACCTGACTCCCATGTCCTCATCATTTTTTGAGCTCTTCTTACTTTTGGTCACAAAAGATGCTCTAGGGTCATCTGGTCATTTCCCAAGGAGTTCTGATTCCTGTTAGTGGAGAAAGTATTTAGAAATCAATATGAAGTTTGCTCAATGTGTCATTGTTTCTCAACTCACTTTGCAAAAAAAGGTAGTAGGAAACAAGTGTATGCACATATCCACATAAGCATAGTTACATTTATTTAGGTCTATATCTACATATCGATGAAGCTAAAAGTACATTTCTGTGGATAACTCCAATTTCAAACTGCAGAAAATAGTACACATGAAGATGAATGTAAGATTTATTTTTTTCTTATTTAGAATTGTCTTAAAAGATAAATGAGTCCAAAGCAATAACAAACAAAAAAGCAACATTATCTTTATAGCATACATAAAAAGTAAAATGTGTAACACTCATATAACAAAGGATGGATTGAGGGGCTATGACTATATAACTGTAAGGCTCTTAAACTGCAAAGCAGCATAAAATTATAGAGAGAGACTATGATGAGTAGATTTGGACCCAACTATATCAACAATTACATTAAATATAAATGATCTAAGGATATCAACTAAAACATAGAAAACATCCAGATTTGGGTTCACAAAAGTAAGACTCAACTATATATTGACTGTTAGAAAGTTACTTTACCCACCACTCAGGAGACTGAGGCAAGAGGATTAAGAGTTTGAGGATTGCGAGTTTGAGGTCTATCTGTGCTACATAGTGAGAAGCAATCAAAAAAAGAAAAAGAAGAGAGAGTCAGAGGCAAGAAGAAAGAGAGAGGGACAGGAGGGAACGGGAGAAAGGGAGAGAGGGAGGGAAAGTGGGAGGGAGAAGAGAGAAAGGAAGGAGGAAACTTACTTTAAATACATAGACAGGTTAAAATTAAAGGGTGGGAAAAATAAGTTATCCAGAGACTAATCAAAAGAAAAATATGTCATCCAGAGACTAATCAAAAGGCTACGATACTAGAGTGGCTATGTGGACAGCAGACAAAATATACTTCAGAACATGGTTTATTACCAGTGGAAAAAAGTGTTTTATGATTATCTTTTTTTGGGGGGCAGGGATGTTTCTGGGGTTTGAACTCAGGACTTCAGACTTGCTAGGCAGGCACTTTACCACTTGAGTAAAGAAAGGTGCTTTAAAAGCATCCTTTAAATAATTAAAGGCACAACTCATCAAGAATATGTAACAACCATAAATGTACTTCAAATCTTAATTTGTTCCAAAATATATGGAGCAAACACTAATAGAACTGAAAGAGGAAATATCAAATCTAAAAATTTCAAACTCGTCTCAGCAACTGAGAGAAGAACTAGATAGAAAATCAATCAGGATATAGAAGACCTGATTAATACTATTAATCAGCTCAACCTATAGAACATTTATAGAAACTCCACCTGACAAAAACAGAACATACATTCTTTTCAAGAGCCTATGGAGCATTCAGCAAGGCAGACCAACCGCATTCTGGGCCACATGATCAACCTGTAAAATTAAAAGAACTGAAATTCTTTGACTACAATAGAATTAAAGTAGAAATCAATAATAGAAAGAAATCTGGAAAATTTCTAAATATTTGAAATTTTAAAAAATGTCTATATAACCCATGGGACAAAAACTGTCACAGAGAAATTAGAAAATATTTTTAATTGAATGAAAATAACTATGTAACATTAAAAGTTCAGAAATGCAGGAGAAATTTACTAAATGTTTATATCAGAAAAGAAAGGTTTCAGAATAATTGATCTATTTTTTTCATCTCAGAAAACCACAAAAAGGGCAAAATTAATGCCAAACAAGCAGAAGGAAAAATAGGTAAAATTTTAAAATGGTAAAGTAGAAAACAGAAAAACAATAAAGAAAATAAAACAGAAACACATTCTTTGGAAAGATAAATAAAATTGATAAACTAGCTAGAATGAATAACAAATGAAGAGCGAAGACACAAATTAAAACTATCAGCAATGAGAGGAGGGACTACACACCCCAAATACTTCAAAAAATAATGGAATATTGCAAAGAACTTTATGCCCATAAATTCAGTAACTTAAATGGAGAAGACAAATTCCTTAAAAAACATCAACTATGAAAGCTCATGCAAAAAAAAAAAAAAAAAAAAACTGGAATAGTCCAGGCCTAAGTCCTAAGATGTCTTCACTGATGAGTTCTACTAAGCATTTAAGGAAGAACTCATACTAGCACTTTCAAAACATAGGAGGAAACACTTCCTGAATCATTTTATGAAGCCAGCATTACCCCATACTAAAATCAGACAAAGACAACTTTGATACTAAAGCTAGGCAAAGACATCATGAAAACTATAAAACAACATCTCTCATTAGATTAGATACTAGAATCAACAAATCATATCCACCATTATGTAGAAAGAATTAACACACCATGACCAAGTAATATTATACTGTGATTGTAAAGCTGGCGCATCTGTACGAAGAAAAATCAAATAATCATCTCAATATTAAGAAATTTGACAAAATTTTATATCCATTTATGATAAAAGTTAGCAATTTTTAGCATTCATGATATAAAACAGTAGATAGTAGAAGAAGGGAACTTCCCCAACCTAACAAACTAGGAGTGGAAAATGAATTTCCCTCCTAGGATTTGGAATAAGGTATGAATATCCCCCCTCACCATTCCTATTCAACATTATACTGGATGTTTCAGCAGGTGCAACGTGCCAAGAAAATGAACTAAACAACACACAAGTTACATGATACATAATACAACTGATACCAGTCAACTGTATTTCTATGTACTAGCAATAGACAATTGGAAACTGAAATTTTAAATGCAACGCCACTAAAAATAGTACACAACATTACGAAATTCTTAGAAAAATACCGATGGGAGAAACCAATGAAGACCTAAGTAAATGTGGAAATATTATGGTTTTGAATTAGACAATTCAATCATTTAAAAATATCAATTTTTCCCTCACCTCAAAATAATCTACAGACTCATTGTTTTCCATCTCCATGAAGTAAAGTATATTTTCCTTAGAAATTATCAACTTCACTTATACTTTCAAATTTATTTGCATAGATATCTGTAAAGTAGTCATTATTTTAAAGAAATATTTCTTTCATCTCGGGTCATTTCCTCCTTGTCATTTCTTATTTTGCAAATTTCTGAAGGTTAGAGGCAAGAAAAGTACCTCATAATCTGGCTTATTCTTTTAACAAGTATTTATCAAATTGCTGCTATGTGACAAACACTGTTTTATGCAATGAGGAATGCATTATAGCAAGGTAAACATGCTCTTACTATCAGGAAGCTTACATTTTAGGGGTTAAGGTACACTGATAACAGAAATGAGGGGGTGACACCTAAAAGTCAAAAACTTACTGCTTTTCTCACACTAAAATGTTGTTAGTGTTGTCTTTTACTTCTTCCAGTATAGTTCATTCTTTAATTTAGATTAACTACTTTTGGAGAAAGAAGTAACAGTAGAAAAATAAATCTACACCTTTTTGACTTCAGTTTCTACTCTGACATGTAAAGAGCTTGGAAGCTGTCACTCGGCAACAAGAAAAAAACCTGAATATCAGTGACTTCGTGGATTTATCAGATAATTGGGATCATAGGTCTACCACTGTGAAAACTAGAGACAGGTGAATTCAAAGAATCACAGCTTTGCAGGAGCATAAGCTGCCAGAACTGATAGGAACACTTAAATTTTAATTGACCAGTTGCTAGAGACTGAGTCTGGACAACATGAATGATAAGGTATTTTTCTTGCCTCTAATGTTCATAATTATGAATCTGGACAGGAGCAAACTGAGCCAATCTTCCATGTTTGTGTTCTCATCACAAATTAAGATAGATAACAGTTTTCAATAAGAACTTTTAAGTTTTTATTGAAATGCCATGAAAAATACTCAGTTGTAGGCTGGGGATGTAGTTCAGTAATTTGCCCAGCATACGTGAGGCCTTGAATTCAATGCCCAGGACCACCATGCCTGGCTAAAAATTTTTATGCTTTGAACGACACAGAATAGAAGAAAGCATATGCAAATCATGTATCTGAGAAGGGGCTTGCATTAGGATTATATAAAGGACCCTTTCAACTCAACAAAGACAAAAAAACTCAATAAAAAATGGGCAACACATATGCACATACATTTCTCCAAAGACATACACATGGCCCACAAGGACATGAAGAGCTGTTCAGTACCACAAGCCATTAGATAAACATGAATCAATGCCATAATGAGATACTGCTCAACATCTATTAGGATGGCTAAAACAAAAAGTCAGCAAATAGCTTGTGTTCATAAGGATATGAAAAAACTAGAAAATAGATTACAAAAGTAAAATAAGGTTACTACATGACCCAGAAATTCTACTCCTATATATATGCATTCACACAAAAGCTTGTAAATGAATGTACATAGAAGCATTATATACAATAGTGAAAAAGTAAAAACAACACAAATATTCATCAACTGGTCAGTAGATAAACAAAGTGTGGCACACCCACACAACATAATATTATTCAACCATAGAAAGAAATGAAGTACTGAAATACGCTACAACAAAGAATCTTGAAAAAAATTATGTGAAGAAGCCAGACCAAAAGGTAAATATTCTATAATCTCATTTATGTGAAATGTCCAGAATAGGCAAATCCATAAAGACAGAAACTAAATTAGCGGTTGCTCAGGGCTGGAGGGTAATTGGGGTGGTCACTAATGGAATACAGGAGGTTTTTTTGGTGGTAATAATGTGCTGTGAAATTAGATGGTATGACGGTTGCACAATCTGTAAATAACTGAGGCAATATTCTTACACAATTTCCATAAATAAAGACATGCAAACATCCTTCAAATTTATAAATATAGGACTGAGAGTTAATTTAAGGAATTATTACAATATAAGTCTTCAAAGGTCACAAAATTATCAACATCAAAGTTCTATTTCCTTTCATTCTTGAATTTATCATTATTAATCTCCTATCAAAGTATTTTGTGCATGGTAAGCACTTAGTAAATGTTTTCTCAATCTTCAAAAAGAGATGAGGAACTTGAATGTTTGGAAAAAAGTACTCTCATAATGAGCCTTTCAGATGAATATTAACCTCTGAATTTCATCTCTTTATGTAGTCTTTGGCCAGTTTCTTTAGGACAGAGCATGACCTTAATTTAAGAGATACTATACTTCCTGCATTTTAAAATTAAAAACATTCTTCATGCAGAAAATCTTTATAACAGGATAAAAGCAAACACAACAAACATCCTGCTGTCCTCTTGGATCAGGGAATGGGGTATTCTGGTTAATATCAAGTTACTATACATACAGATTAGCACTTATTAAATGAATTAGAACCAAATACACAGTAAGTTGAATTGTGTGTTTCTCAGATAAATGAGAAAACATTTAGATTTCTTGCACTGTCTTAGGGTCATAGTTATAATCACCTATCATTTCTATGTTAGGCTGCATTTGCACATGCAATCAGTAAAGAAGTTTTGGTTGAAATAATTACAAGTAGATCAACTTTTCCATATAGGACAATAAAGTCAAGAGAATTGATAGCTCAAGTCTAAATGGCAAACATTTCTCAAAAAAAAAAAAAAAGAAAAAAAGGAAAGGAATAAAACAGGCAATTCACTAAATCACAAGAAATAAAAAGCTGAATGAATGCTTAATGAGGAATGCTAACATTTTGGAATTCTTACAAAGGCAAGGAGCTAAGTGGAGGTACATAAAGACCTTCAAGTATGAAATGTTTGATTCCTGCTGGGATGTAAAAAGAAGGGAAAGACCTCTGTAAATACTGGTTTGATGAGATACAGGAAGAACAAAGTCCATTTACCCTCTTGGGTCTTTCAGTGATATTCTTTGAGTCCATGCAAAGAAACAGGCAAGCACATGAGGGTGCAGAGGCATAATACTCCTTTAGGTACAGGTTCATAGCACCAACTTTTATGTGGTCTGGGTCTTTTAGCAAATCTGAAAGTTTCCAAGGGCTGCTGATTCTACCTTTTAGAAAGCACTATAGTATATCATCAAAAAATACATGGCCCAAAATATGAAACATGATTGCTTAGAGAAACAGAGTAATTCCTTGAAAAAGCATAACAAGTTTACAAGAGATCATACAAACTAATTGTAAGGTCTTACAAACTAACTGTCAAGAAAATAAGAGTTCTGTCTCAGAATTTCAATAACTACATTAAATGAAAGTAACGTTAGTTTTTCTTTTTTCATTCTCTTCATTCCCTAGTCTATCCTCTAAATAATCATGTTTAAGAAAGGCAGCTACAAATTTTTCTCTTCAAAAATCAACTCAGATGCATTTTTCAAAACTAAGCTGTGTCACTTAATAAATAGTTACGTGTATTCACAGGGGAAAGAATCTGCCACTACAACAGTGATGCACTTTTCTTCTGGGTTCCCATACACAAGAATCAGAATAATTTACAACAAATATTTCCATGATGAGGAACAGCACACTTAAAAAG